TTATAATATAAATCAGGCTTTTTTTAAATAAAGTTTTTTGGGGGGTGGCTGTGGGTTAATTAAACATCCTTTATAAAATGTGATACTTTGTTGCAGATTAAAACTGCTATTATATATTATTCTGAATCAGACCACTATGCATGACGAATATTTAGTTATTTCTTTAGCCTTCTCACTTCAAGCACATTTTGAGGTGCTAATCCTTTATAGTGTTGAATGCTTTTAAATGCAGGGTTGTTACTTTTGTCTTTATTTGTAGACATATGGACCTGAAAGCTTCCTACAACACTAAACAGTGTATTTACCATAGACTGGTATTTACCTGTGTTTCCTGGAGGAGTGGAGGAAGTGGTGACTTGTTTCCTCTTTTTCTTATTCCTCTTGGTCTTTTTTTTAGTGTCGCAGCTCCTGGACGGCTGCAGCAATTTACAGTGTTTGTCTTCTGGCATGATGTAGTCGGCACACAGTGCTAATAAATAGATCTATGTGAGTCTGGAGACTGTTCTGCAGAATTCTTCTTCGATAAACACTCTTTCCTTTAAGGCCATTACATTTAAAAGACTGCAAAAAAACTGAGCTGACGCTGAGCCCTACTCTTCGTTTAATCACAAGAAACAGGGGTAGTCCCGAGAAAACGCTGCTTTATCTCCTGTGGTTTAAAAACACTTTTGTCTGTTGCAAAAAAAAGGCAGAAGAAAGTGTAAAAAAAATGGCTGGTACATTGCTAACTATCTTTGATGTTTCGTAGTGTTTGTTCCGGAACACGCAGCATTTCCACAATCACACTTCACCACCGTGTTGCCCAGTGACACGTATCCGTGGCAACAGGACACACCTTCTCAGAGAGGATTAAAAGAGTCCGGGTAATTCTCGCTTTTATTATTATAAAGTCGTCATGAAAACGTTTACATGTCCTATTCAGTTATGTTCAGTGAGTGACAAGAGGAAAACTAAAGAATTGACCCCGACGTGATTTGAACACGCAACCTTCTGATCTGGAGTCAGACGCGCTACCGTTGCGCCACGAAGTCACACACACTGGTCCAGGATACCGCACTCTAATCGTCTGGTGCATTACTCATGATACTGTGTAACTTTGTTAGCATTTATGTGTCTATGTAAGACTTTAAGTAGTCTTCAAATAGGAGTATTCCCCCCTCAAGCACTGCACAACAATGGATCTTTAGATGAAAACCAGTGCAGTGTGAGACGTGTTGGTCTAAACTATTTTAAGCACTTGGATAAATATACTGAATGAGTTCTTTGAGTTAGCAGGACAGAAGTAGCTGGCCTTGAGCGGAAGCCACAATATTAAAGAACAAGGAGGAGATACTTTTTAGACCAGATGCAAGAGATGAATACTTTCAGATGATGTAACATTACATTTCATGGTTGTCATGAAATATATGTATATGAATCTGCAAAGGTCTCAATTGAGACCATCATTTCCCTTTCTTAACATTATTGTTGTGTCTCGCTCACCAACACCAAATACACAAATGAGTGCAATTATCCCCCCCTGCATCTAAACATACAATAACTAATGATTTGGCCACTTGGATGCAGCAAAAACAAGCTTTTATATCAAGAGTTTCCAATTAACACATCCAGCAGATGTCAGGAGCAATATTATAATTTATTTGTCATAGTCTTTCTAGTAACCTAATTTATCTAAATCAAATACTCACTTTCCTTTTGCTTTATTTTGGCTCACCAACTCCCAATGAAAATATCTATCCCTTTAGCTGCTAAATGCTCCACTATGATGACCAGCCAGCTGCTCACTAGAGTTTGATTTAGCTGCTCAGCAGGTAGTCTAGAGCTGTATTAGAAAAGTTTTGGGAAAACCAAAACAGATTGAAGCTCACCATAAGTCTCCTGCTGAAGACAACTGTAGTCATTCAGTCTAATATTTAATATTCCATCCGTCACATACTTATGTAAATATAATACCTTGCTTTATATCTTGTTATTGTTCATTTGTAAATTCAACATGTATATTTTCTACTTTCTTGTTTATTTCTTGTCTTTTAATTTGTATTGTACAATGCCATGTCTTTTTATGCTGCTGCAACACAAACATTTCCCAAATTGGGATCAATAAAGTTCTATCTTATCTCTTATCTTGTCTTATTAAAGTACATTTGAAGGCAAATACACCACCATAGACGGTGTTGCTAAATCTTTTACTGATGGACTGTTTAACCTCGTTAAAGTTTTATAAATTACTATAATAATTGTATTGTAGTCTCAAAAGGGAAAACAACACTATTGTTTGTCTAAGTGAAAGAAAAGTGTGTATCTAATGATCAAAGCACTTATAACTGTTTGTGTGACCATTTCCTTTTGAATCGCTGCATGGGGATTTCATATGTGCCTCTGACAACATCCACAGCACGCAGTCTGGTATTTCACAGGGAGTTTCCATCCTATTCCTGTCCTATAGAAGCTAGTCCCCCACTGCTTCCTCAGTACTCAGTCACATGCATGTTCACACAGAAACAACATGCTAGATGTATTACGTTGAAGAATGTGACCCTTGTACACACAAACCCTTTCTGCGCACAAAATAATGTTTCTAATGATATGAGGACTATACTTGACTGCTATGTTCTGTCTCCAATTAAAACAAACAACCACCAGTGCCACGAATAGTCTGAATCTCTGACCTCAAGCAAGTCTGTCCTGCTTCTGCATTTCCTACCCACATATCTGAGCTGTTCCAGTAAGACCCACAGGAGGAAGAAAGAAGATAAATCATGGTGCTGAGTCAGGGAGGACACGTCATATTTATCGGTGCATTGGTGCCAAAGTTCACAGTGAGATGCAGACACATCACATGTGGGTTTTTAAAGACCCTCTTAAAAGGGACAGAGCTTGCTGTCAGGATGTAAAAAAGCTATAGGAAATGCATGTTTGTACAGGCACATGTATATTTCTCTGGCCAACAAAAAGGACATCTACTTACATTTTGTACACAACCTTTGATCCACAGTTTGTATGTGTTGTGGCCTTTTGCATGCCACAGATGTTGGGGGGGGGGGGGGGGAGATGTGACTCACACGCACCTCATCATCATTATACAAACAGGTCTTAAGCTGCAGAAAGTGCATTGGCACCTGCTTAAACAGTTCTCAACAACAGCTTTTATAAACACGCAAGTTTGCGTGTGAATTAGCAATTAAAGCCTTCTCAATCTCAATCGAATTAGGGTGAATGTTTTACAGAAGGGAGATTAACCTTACTGGTATTTCTCAGGCACTCTAGATATGCATAGCAGTTGTGACATAACGTTTTCAAAGTGCACTTAGATCATATTACATGTTGAAGCAGGTTATTGTGCAACTAATGTAGTAGCTTATTCTATTGCTGAATAAGTTCCATGAATCCAGCCCAAACCTGGGGGGTCCTATTTTGTATTTGAATGTTCTCCAACTGTCATCATGATACTGGAACCATAACAGAACAGAACAAAACAAGGATGACTATGTTTCACTCCTGCCACCTAAAAAGGGCAAACATTTGTACTTTTGAAGTTACATAACAAAGGCATAGGGTATACAGCCAGTGCCCCTAATTAGAAACAAAGATTTAAACCATGTACTCCCTAACCAGCTATATTTGGCTGCTTGTCAGCAGCCATTATCAAGTATGTATACCACAGACAATGTCAAAACATATTAAATGGTACTTTTTTACAGGAAATAAGATCAGCATACCAAACAACACTGAGTGTCATTGTGAGTTGTCTTTCCTTCATTTTCAATACCGATCCAACATCAAATGAGTGTTATAATGAGAATCACTGATTCATAATGTCTTCCACCTCCACACAGGCCTAAAAAGGGAAGTCGTGGCTGAATCAGAAATAAAGGTTACCAGCAGTGGAGTGAAAACTGAGTTGTTGCCATTTTCACAGAAACAACGGTCTGTCTGGTGGTTTTTCCGCATAACATATTCAGAATCTAATGAATTTAGTGTAAAGTAACTACACAAAGGTGTTATAAAACAGACTGAGGAAGGAGAATGAGCCAGTGGGTTTGGTCTTGTGAGGATTTGCTGTGTGTGCCATGAATGTATAATAAGAACGGTGTGTGCTCAGTGTGTCCGGTGACAGTAAGGAAGCAGCTTCTCAAAGTGCAGCAACCTTAAAGCTGCAGGAGCACAGGTTCACAGGAGAGAGGCAGACATTAGAAAGGAAACTGACCCCACCGTCCTCATTGTGAGAGTGTCTGAGAGAGAGGGTAACACGTTAATCTTGACTTGCTGATGTCTGTGGAGGCCACGTAGATAATTTCTGCTGCCAGGTTTAACTGAAACCGTTACAGCTTCTCTGACAAAAAACTCATCCTGAATCTTTTTTACTTTGACATAACATGATTTAATTATTTCCAACACGGCTAGATGTATCTACTTTGAGGACCAATGCACCCATAAACGGCAGAAATGAATAAAACACATACATTTATTAAGCATTTAGCACACCACCAATGAAAGCCTTAAAACTAGTTTTGACATGTTTTTCTGCCACTAGGAAACATTTAACTGCTATTTATTTTTATACAGACGTATGACCAGCTGCAACTGTACATTCAATTCGATTACGTATGTGTAATTAGTGTATTGTAGTATTACAGGTCTACCTGCATTTAAATGACAATACAACTCGCTTTATGTGCGTGATGTATTACTAACAGGTCAATCTGCTGCTTCATGGGCGTGTACACGTCAGATTCGTGCACATTCTGACGTCCGTTTCTCCTGGCTGCTACGTCATTACGCTGCCAGCTGATCAGAGCTGGGAAGCCGGGTGTGTGTGAGAGAGAGAGAGAGAGAGAGAGAGAGAGAGAGAGAGAGAGAGAGAGAGAGAGAGAGAGAGAGAGCTAGAGAGAGAGAGAGAGAGGAGAGAGAGCGAGAGAGAGAGAGAGAGAGAGAGAGAGAGAGAGGTTGTTGTAAAAGGGGCTGAAGTCCTGCGCCTCGTCCTCCACTGCGCTGCATGGAAAAGTAGGCTCAACACCAGCAGATATATAAACGCTGCCAACCCGTTTTATATCGTGGAGGTAAAACAGGCAGAGAGACAGCGACACACCCTCCTGGAGCTCCGGGACTCCGCCGGAGCAGAGGGCGAGACCGGCTGAACTCCACCCGACCGTGCGGAGGGTTTGTCCAGGCAGCAGAGCCAGGGCCGGTGGTCAAGGTGGGGCGTGTTTCTGACTGTGAGTCTGTCCGTGTTTCTGCTACCTAAATGCTTCTTCCTGTCAGTCAGATTTAGCGTGTGGCGACTTCATGACCCACTTTGCGTTTAAAAGAGAACTGGGAAACCATTCCTTAACCTTTTTAAAGTAAGATTCAGCTCTCTAGGTCTGATTTCTGATTCCCAGCGGCAGCTTTCTGCACACATTTTCCGTCGTAGGATCGTCGAGGATATAGGTTTGATGTTATAGGAGTTCTGGCTGAAGGCCTGTATGTGTGTCATGTGGATCATATCGTCCAGGCCCACTGACACAGAGAATTGGCACCCTAAAAATGTGAACACAACCTCCAAGCTCCTGCACAGTAGCTTAATCCACTTTTTTAGGTCTCATTAAAGTGTTGCATATATTAAATCTGCATCAGCAGAAAAAAAGAAGTCAGAATGATGTCAAAATTAACTAAAGATTGAACAGAAAAGCCAACTAAAGTACATAGACATCATGTTATCAGTGCTAAGGGTTTACAAATGTGACTTTATATGATGTTTAAGCCTAATATGTGTCAACTTGTACTCAAGCCTCAAGAGTATTCATTTTGTCATTTGTAAGCATTTAACTGTCAAATGTAGGATGTATAGGCTATAACAGGCTGGGATGTCTGCATTTATGTCATCTAAACGTGTCAAAAGAAAGCCAATTCAAATGTGCAGGCCAAGGAAAAAGCCTAAGTATAGGATAGTTAAAAATCTGGAAGATAACTACTGCCGAGTCATTTCTCGGAAATGCACCAGCAGTCATCTGGAAGATCTGTCTTCAAGTGAAAGACATAAAGTGTATTTCTGTAGATTTTAAGGATCAGTAAAACACTTTAAAGCTGATGACGTAACATGACAAACTATTTAGGCCTCCAACTCTCACCTACATTTATATACTATTCTTTATGGTGGTTTACACTTCTATAAAACGTTTTAAAAGCAAAGTGCATTAGTGTATGAGCAGTCTTTTTATGGGAGGGGGAAGCTTACTGTAGTGTAGCCTACATCGATGGAGCCTGTCTTACATAATTGTGCAGCCATAGTTCAGTGTGCCGGTAGGAATGCGCAATAGGCTGTGTCACGAGCTGCATTTGTGCCATTGCAACCCGGAGTGTGACATAAGCCACCCTGTCAATGAGGATCACATTCACAAGGTGATTACAGGGTGTCAGTTAAACAGCAACTCATGGAGCAACATGGGTTGTTCGCAGGGAAAAAGCAACCGTCTCTTTTTTTTTTGCCTACATTTGCAGAAGTGAAGCCATCTTGCTCAACTTGGGCTACACCCTTCATTCCTATCGTGTGCCTTGTCAATGGAGGATGGGGCAAGAAGGGATGTGTTTATGTAGGTTCATTTAGAAGAAAAAGCAATCCAGTTCTTTCAAACAAAATGGCACAGACTGCCTGAGGACAGGCTTACAGGCCTCATACCGCACATAGCCATCTCCCAGGGCATCATGAATTCCGAATGGCATTCAGTTTTTCCTCTAAGCAAGTAAAGCAACCCGCACCCTTTATTTGTACTGATCTCAGGGTTAAAGTCAGATAGCCTTTAAAGTCCTGCAAACAGCCAGCAGCAGAGCACAAGAAGAGGCTCTGCACTATGACCAGTGTGTTGCCAAAGCCACCGCCCTTTCCCTGTCTTTGTCCCAATTCCCAGCCCCAAAATGATCAGTCTATACTGCAGTGAACTCTCGCCAACCGGGCCACACCCACAGCAGAGGAATGCACCTGGAGTGATATATGTAATAAAACATTTCTTTATGCAACTCTTTTTATTTCATTTTAAAGGTCTATACATATTTTCTCGTGCAGATTTATCGTTGACGGTCAGCCCACGATGGCTTATATCATCACCCAACGTAGGACTCTCGCACAGTATGATCACGACCCCAATATGAATAGGTCAAATGAATGGGCTTGCATTATGGAAGGACGGCTGACCCACTCTTTACCATACCGCCATTCTTCTTACTTTGAAAGAAGGCTTCTTCCTGTTAGCGTTTTATTATTTATCTTTTTCCATATTAGTCATGCTCTCTAATCTTAATAAATCCTCATTTTAACAGTAGTTCCTCCTGGAAAATGGTTCCCTCACAGCCTCCTATTTACACACAACCTCCAGTGTGTCTTCCCCCTGTCCTCCCAGTTGTGGCAGGGAATGCAAGTCCCAGATAAGCTCAGTCTTTTGTGTATTAGACTGTTATCTCTTTTACACCGTTGCACCGTGTATGAAAGCCTGTCTCAAGGCCTTACACACTGGCCGTCATGTGGCTCAGTCTGACTCCCTCGCTCGGATAAAGCCAAAGAGAGAAGGAGTGGGAGAGTAGGAGAAAAAGGCGGAGGTGAGGGTGAACCTGACGGTGAAGCCACGTCTGCCTCGTCCGGTGCAGACCAGATGTAGATCGAGAGAGGGATGGAAAAGGAGGAGTGTGCGAGGCCACAGCAGCCGGATGGAATTTCTAACATACGCAGCTGGAATGTGAGGAATGCAGGACAGTCTGATCCGAGAGAGAGAAGAGGGTGGAGAGGAAAGACAAGTCAGGAGAGACACAAAAAGAAGAGAAATGAGAAAAAGTGGCACAGCTAAAGAGTCAGGGGTCAACACTGCACGTCTTTGTGAGTGTAAAGATACAGAGTCACTGTTTGTGGAAGGAGTGGCACGCTATGGAACAAATAACTTTATTCAGTTAGAGGTTGTGGCAGCCATAGTTGAGTTATGTGTGTGTGGCCCGAGGACTTGTACTGAACGTCCTCCTCCCTGACTTCATTCAGACCAACCCTGCTGAGGAGCGTGTGTGCAGCCTGTGTGGGGGAGGAGGGTGGTGAGTCCCTTTTTGTATGATACTGACGAATGATAGCCTTATTCTGCAATGTAAGCTGAAAATCATTTGTTTAATCAGTTAATTGTATATGTCATGACCATGGCCTGACAAATTGTTGTCCAATAATTTGGCTTATGACCAAATAACAACCAAACTTTTACTAACCTTTTACCTCAGCTCTATTTTGTGTTTAGTGGGATCTAGCATGCTAACATTCTCATTCTTTACTTTAGCATTTAGCTTATAGCTGTGTCTAAGACAGCCCCACAGAGATGCCAGCATGACTCTCGAGTGAATTCAGAAAATGAATTGTGTCCTTTTGTGGCGGATAAACACAAATACACAACAACAAAAAAACGAACTATCAAAGCAACCACAAAGAGTGAAATATTCTCATGTGCTGCCACCAACAGCATCTTGGTGCTCCTATGCTATTCAGACATATTAAGTAATATTCAGAGAGTTGGTGCATAATTGGCCCTTTTCTATGCAAATGAGCCTCATTGCAAAACAGTACAAGCACAAAGATCAGGGCTTATAGCCATGTATCTATCTTTTGTGAATTGGACCTTGAGACAGGGAGATAGCAGGTGCAAACCATGCGCCATCCATTTTCATTTCATTTCAAACCTTTATTTATCCAGATGTATCCCATTGAGATCATTGATCTCTTTTTCAAGGGAGACCTGCTCAAGTAGGTTCCACATGAAACATAAACATGGTGCTCTCAGCAGGCGAAATCCATTTGTAAATGTACCTTTTTAAAACTCATGACTGGACTCTTTTAGAGGCACAGAAAGACATGTAATACTCTTTATATTATGCATTTAAATATTTGTAAACAATTTTATAATTCAAGGTAATTAATTGATATGTAGGCCTATACATTTGATTGATTATACATGTGCACTGCGACAGAAATTTGAGGCTGTGCTCACTGGGCGACCAACTATCAGAAAGCGGCTCAAAGTGCATGCCAACAGCCAAGTTTAAGTGCCAGTTTAAGTATGATTTAATCTTACATAAAAACCTAACTTATGAAAAAAGGTGTGTTACATCAGTAAAGCAGCAAACATGCCACAGAGGCCCTGAAGAAGTGGAGCCTTTACAAGTTAATAGGCTGGTTTAAAAAAGACCCTATAAGAGTTAAAAGCACATTCTGCTAACAAGACGCCTGAAAGAAGATATAGGAAGGAACATAACCGCAACCTTCTCTGAGACAAATGGGCGCCATTTTGTAGTCCAGTAATCAGTTACCGGTACTTGAGCCATAATTAGAACAGCTGATTTGAAAAAGATGTCTAAGATCTTTGATGGGGAAACAAATCTGCCACAGCATTTGCAGATTTCTTAAAGTGGTTTTAAGACATAAAAGAGTGGTAAACTTTCTTAAGTGTTCATAAGTCACAAGTTACGACAGGCCTCTGCTTGCTGACTCACACTGACATTTGTCACGTAGATACATTTCCCAGAAGGGGAAGGAAGATCTTATTAGTGTTTTCCCATGTAACTATGCAGAAGCCATATTGATCAGTTATGTCTGAAGAAAGATGACTCCCTGGCCCTCTTTGGATGTTTCTAACGTTTAAATCTAAACAAAAAGCGAGATAAAAGGAATTTGTCCCTGCAGCGAGGTCTGTAAAATGTTCATAAGTCTGGTTGATTTCCCCCCCCCTGCTGTGCACAGTCTAAAGGCCGCGGGCCACTGAAATACCTGAGATTATAGATTATTCTGGTTCTCCTTACTGCAGGAATGTACAGCATATGTTACTCATCGTCAACCAAAAAAGTGGAGCAACTCCTCAAGACCCCCACAATATATTCTCTGAAGAAAAGCACAGTCTGCTTTAGCTTATTGGGATTTTTCCTATATGTTGCTATAGACGCTGACTTTGTAAAACTACATACGCAACAGCCTGTATCAGTGGGCCATAGGCTTCATTACTGTTGTGATTCAGCGAAAACAATATGATCGAAGACAGTTAGATAAACACTCAAAGGGTATGAAAAGGACACATTTGCAATAGCTGTGAAACATTCATGCATTCACACGCGTCCTAAAAGCTCTACCTCCATGCCAAGCTGCTGGTCACGACTAAAAAAAAAAGACAAAAAACAACGAATATTAAGTTTACAGTCTGCGAGGCTGTAATAGACAGTGGTGCTTTAAGCTAAATGCTAGTAAACATAAAGTGGCTTTAATTTTGAAACTATTAATCTTGCATATATTTAATTGTATCTTTGTGATCAGGTCCATTTTAATTTCAGAAGGATTCACGGCCTAAAACAGAACTGCAGAACACATCACAAACTTCAGATTAAACCGTTTTTAAAGTAAACATACTGTACTTAGTCTACCTTTTCACATGTGAGCTTGCAATTAAGTAAAACGACACTACAAAGTGTGGCAACATGTAGAGAACAAAGATTAGGTGTAGCTTCAGACACCCGAACATTAACTTAAATTAAAGCGACAAATGGATCTCTGCTTTCATGTAGAGGCTGTGTACTCCTCTTCATCACCTCTCTTATTTTGTGTAACCACGGAAACTGAAAAAAGAGGCCAGCCTGTGCTTTTGAGCATCATAACGAAGAATATTTAAGAATTGATTGTGGCATCGCTCGTTTGCAGAGCCAAGCAGCTGATGCGTGTATCCCTCCTGGTAATCTGAAGCATGATATCATGTGCATCTTCCTCGTCCTTCGTTCATCTCCGCTCATTTCACCCACTTACTCACAGCTGATCGCACACGGCTCCACTGTACGAGTGCGACTGGCTGCAGGCCACCGCATACCCACGCTACTGGAGCAGTTCAGAGGAGAAGCTAACATGTTCTCTTCTTTTTCTCTGCAGGAATATGTGCACCTCAAACAGACGAGGGAAGGAGAAGGAGTCGCTATCTGTGCCTTTTTTGTTTTTAAATCGAGGCTGTCCTTCAACCCAACAACTCTCACGCTCTCTGGCTGACTCCCAGCTCCCAGCTCCCCCTCACCCCTGGCCCCTAATGGCTGACACACAGCAGTTCTTCACTGGCAAGCTTTATGTTCCTGTACACATGCTAAAGCTGCCAGCTGAAGAACTGCTCTGGTCTGCCCTGCCCCGGATGAATCAAGAAGAGGAAGCGGACGGGGGTTGCTGGGAAGAGGACAGAGGAAGGCGGTGTTTCTGTTTCACACGCTCAGCAGGCAGACTGGACGTAATAACTATAGAGATTTTATCCAACATGTTTATAATCCTGTGTTTATCACATATGTTTTATTTAAATTTACGTAATATAGAATGTTTATTTTCCATATTTTTCCTAACCAACAGTGTTTATAGTCTGTTATATTTTTACATTTAATTCTGTATTGTCTGTATTTTACATAAGACAATACAGAATTATTCACTTTTAGTCTTTTTTTTCAAAAACCTGCCCATATTGTGTATGATGTACGTGTTTTTAAATAAAGGAATATTTTCTCAGACTTAAGTTTGATTGTTGTCTACTACTGCACACTATGAACAACGCATACCAGCACTCAAGGCTCTCCTGTCATGAATAACCCACACCCACTCAAATGGAACCAATTAATGTGTCACACTATTCCTTAGAACTTGCAGTCCCTGGTGATCCCATTAAAGCAGAGCAAGAAAAGTCAAGAGTAAATTGAATTGCTCTTTAAATGTAAAAACCGTTGTCAGATTTTCTATAACTTCTGAAAGTGGTGTTGATCCTCACTTTACACATTAGTTTCTCATGTCAACAAGCTGAGATTTAGGACTTAATGAATTCATTTAGATTGTTTTTACATATTAAATGTGAGATCAGAGAGAATAATTATTATATAACGGCTGTCCTCCATCACCCTTTGCTTCAAGGGATTCCTTCTTAAACTACAATCTTTGACGGACAGGAGGTAAGGAGAGTACTTTAAAAAATAATATTCAGAACTGCAAAGATTCTATTAAATCTAGTAAATGTATTTCACATCAGCACCAGGTTAATATAGTAAACTAAATTGGTTTAATTAAAATATTGTTTTTGTTTAAATTCTCTGTCCTGTCTACTAAACACCATCCTTTATGTTAAATGTAGTGCTTGTAATTTTCAAAAGTGCACAGAGAATCCAGAAAGGTTCTCGACAGATTTGATGGAGCTTTGTTGGTTTGCACTAATACAAATCTAAATACATTTCAACACTAATCAGTCAGAAGTATAAATATTAAATGTAGACGAATTATTAGGAAATTACAATGACAGATGTTCATTAGGAAAGATTATCTGAAATTGGAGTGTTGAGGCACATTTAAACTAGTGTCTTGGTGGAGTTTCCCTACATCACCACTAGATGGCATGATAATTCGCAAAACTGAAGATAAAACATGATAGGTACAGTTATGGTGTAGAGATAAACACTACATGATGGACAAATAAAACTGTCATGTAAAAATATTTGAATACGTTTTGGAACATGTGTTCAGATTGTGTGTTAATAAGGTACTTAACTATTATCAGTATAAAAGAGTGTTCATTATTAAGAATATACTGATTGCTATTAGCTGGCAAAACATCACTTGATATATAAGTATTGAAACTGATACATTAATCTGTAGCTTCAATTATGTTGAGTAATTACATAACCTGCAAAGTTTAATCGATTTATAATGTTGGAATAACTAAATGTATTGACTTAACTCAAATGTACACATGTTTAGTTAATTACAAATACTTTTTAATTCATACTTCACAAAATGTGAGAGGTAAATATATTATTATATTTTTTACTACATTAAGTTACTAATTCCTTTACAGATATAATACATTCACTTTGATCAGGGCCGTTTCTAGCTTTTTGGGGGCCCTATGCAAGATGCTGTTTGGGGGCCCTAGTTTTGACTACAATGGGGGGGATTCCGAAGCCTTTAAAGGTCCCATGTCATGGCCATTTCCACTGATCATAATTCCATTGTTGAGGTCTACTAGAATAGATTTATATTGTGCAATTTTCCAAAATCACTTTGGTTTCTCATACAGCATCTCTGTAAACTACGTGTATTCACTGAATTTCACTCTCTGCCTTTAACGGCTCGTTGTAGCTCCAATAGCTCCAGCCCCCACTCTCCCTGTGAGCACAGTGTGCTCTGATTGGTTGGGACGTTGTGAATAGAGAGGCGAAGTCCCTCCCCTTCTGGGAGCCTCCATGGGACCCCGGAAGCGGAAAATTATACATTGAAGTCAATGGAGAGAGAAAGGTTATCTTTTGATCCCGTTTGAATTGTGCCACGAATGACACATATGATGTTTGTCAATTTAAAAGAACATTTTGCAAGTCAAAAAAATAAAAATGTGTCGTAAAACTGTGAAGTTACACATTTGTTTGTGTGAAACCGCTCAGTGAACTACAGGTCTCTGGTCTCGCACAATACGCGTCACCATCACAAAGACGGCCGTCACGTTAGCAAATTTCACCTGTTTCTTTCAGAATGAGGCGAAAAGTATAAAACGAGGTGAACATCACTACAAGTCTGGGCATGTTGAGAGCTGTACATACACGAAAGGGGAGTTAGTCGGTTCTGTAAGAGCCAGCATGCGGGACCGGTGAGTAATATGAGTGCAATGTGTAACGTTAATGTCAGCTAGCTAACATTAGCTAACAAGGTACACTAACGTGTTTTGTTTTAGTAACTAGTTTTCTCCTTAAGAACTTCGTGGTCTCTGTGTATGCTGTGGATAACATTAGTGTTCACAAGAACAAGGTACACTCCCGTGTTTTGTTTTAGTTGCTCTTCAGATTGAAGCGGACAGTTTTATATCGACTATAGTATAGTCGATATAAACTTATATCGACTATAGTATAGTCGATATAAAACTGTGGGGTGGCCAACCCGCGGCTCTCGAGCCGCATGCGGCTCTTTGCCTAGTTTCATGCGGCTCTTCAGTTCATATCGAATTGTATATGTGTGAGTTTGGGGGAGAGACACTGACTCCTGACTAGTGTTGCACGGTGTACCGATACTTGAAAGGTACCGCGATACCCTGCCCTTAAAAATGTTACGATTCCTCCGTTTCATTAGTATCGGTACTTTAAGAATGACGGGGGAAAGTACTCCGGTGAGAAAGCGCCGTTTTAATAAGAGCCGTGTGTGTTCAGCGCTCTGCTTCCACTCCCTGCACTGCAGCCGTGCCTGCAGTCCCGCCCCTCTCAAGCACGCTCTAAGTCCCTCCCCTCTCTCGTGCACGCGCTAGCTGCCAGAGCATGTGAGAAAACGAGAAGCATGGCTGCAAGTGGGAGTGCAACTGCCGCTGCGCCTCGGCTTGTTGACAAAAAAGACGCCAGAAGCGAAATTTGGAAGTATTTGAGCTATATCTCTGACAGTGAGGGCAAGCCTACGGACACCACGAGGCCTGTCTGTAAGAAATGTATTAATTTTATTTAATAGGAAATCTTGTCATTTATTTAATTTATTGTTCTCATTGTTTAAAAGTTTGTGTTATGGTTATGGTTCTGGTGTGAAATAAAGCACAATAATTACATTTAAGACTGTTTTTTAAGAAAAGTATCGAAAAATAATCGGAATCGCAATTCTTGACTTGGTATCGAAACCAAAATGTTGGTATCGTGACAACACTAGCTACTCCTGACAGTTAAACCTGATATTTAGTAGGTCTGTTAAGTATTAACGTAATTTGGCCGGTCAAAGTTGTTTGGGCTCGGATAAAATCGCTTCGTTACTTTCGTCCCGTGTTACTTTCGTCCCGTGTTACTTTCTTCCCGGCTCCCGGTGTGTATGTGTGGTGTCAGGTGTCAGTATGAGAGGATGACAGCAAGTCTAATTTTGATGTGGCCCAAGAGCCAATCACAATAATACCTGCGATGCAGTGAACCAATCACCTTTGAGGGGGGGAAACCTATCGTTGATTAAACACTATCCAGTGTTTCCCCTACCATTGTTTTGGAGGGGCGCTGCGCCCCGCCAACGGAGCCCCGCGCCCCCCCCTGAAATTCAAGGTGTTTAAAAAATATATATAATTTTAAAAAAAATATATATATAGCACCAAATTGCAAATAATCTATAACTACTGTCACTTTTCACATTGAACATGTGCTCTTTTATTAAATAAACTAAACGCTTTCATTTTAAGTTGTGAATTTAGTGTTTTTGACCCTAAGAAACACTGATGCATTAATCAATAACAATAATCCACAGCTCCTCTCTCTGCTCCAGAGGATTTTAAAAAAATATATCCCAATGCCACAAAAATGCATCAGTGACGTGGTTGAAATCTTGTCTCCAGAAAACAAAAAAACGGAAACAAGCGGTATCAGTGCCTGTGTGTTTGATGTGGCTCTTTGCAGTAACATAGAAAAAAATGTGGCTCTTAACCTCTGACTGGTTGGCCACCCCTGGACTATACTGTATGTGTGATCTCCTTTTTCTCGTTGTGTCATTTGACTTTATTTGCTGTGTGTAGATTCAAGGATTTTGGTTATCTTGGCACAGCTGTGTGTGACTCCCTCTGGTACACTGGTATGTGTTTTCCTAATGTAGAGAGCATTGATTAATTAATAAACTACACACTGAGTCTAGATCCTGACCAAATCCTTTTTTATTGTTGATCAAATGTTTAAAAAAAATGTATTCATACACATTTAGAAAAATACAATGTACAATCACAACCAATACAACACAAATTACAAAAAATACAGAAAAAACAAACAATAACAACAATCAGACAAGAGGACAAAACTATGGAAAAATAAACCCTCCCACCCCCAGATCCGGACCATCCTTGTATTATTGCTCATTCAATCTATTATAGCATGCTAACAAATGGTACTTACTTTATTTTTACAGATCTGCATGGGAGACAATGGCGCGATGCAGAGATACATCGATACATCGCCAACTGTCAACTGGGGGGTTGTAAACGAGGCCGAAGGGGTGAAGGCTTTTGGGCAGGCCTATCGGGTGACAGTGTTCAAGTCTGGTCTCTTTGTGAGTGAGTCGGGTGTTTTGGGAGCATCACCCGATGGACTTGTGCAGCCATCTGCCCTGCTGGAGGTGAAGTGTCCACACAGCCAGAGGAACATGACCATCGCGGAGGCAGTCCAGTTACCATCCTTCTGTCTCCGTGAGGAGGGTGGGTCATATATCCTCAAGGAGAATCACCCATACTGGCACCAGTCCAAGGGCAGCTGCATATCACAGACCGGAGTCTCTGCTACTTTGTTGTGTGGACCACGAAGGAGGCGATCATCATCCCCATCCCCAAAGACCCTGCATGGCATGGAAATCTCCTCCTCCTGGAACAATTCTACACCCAGCATATGCTCCCTGTGTTGGCCAGTAGAGAGGACATTTAAATAAACATACTCTTAACACCCTCGGACTCTGCGTTGTGTTTCGTATGTGTGATGGGGTGTTATGCAGGGGGAGGAAAACAGGACACAGCAGATTGGGATTGTGGTGGAGATGCTGAGCA